AGCCCCGCCCCCAGCAGACGAGGGAGCCGCGCAGCGGCTTTTCTCGCCGCGGCTTTGCTCCGCGTCTCCCTAGTCTGCTGGGAGGGCCCCGCTCCCCCTCCCCCCAGCAGACCAGGGAGACGCGGAGCGGCTTCTCTCGCCGCGGAGGACGCGGGTGGCGGGACCGCAGTGCATCTGGGCATCCCTCCGCTCCTGTCCTCCGGAGCGAGAAAAGCCCCGTTCGTAACTGCGGATCCGACATAAGTCGGATCCGCGTAACTCGGGGACTGCCTGTATTTCCATATCAGCTTCCAGCTCATCTGATGATGTGGGTTTTGCCCACGAAAGCTCATGATATTATATACATATTTTTGTTAGTCTTTAAAGTGCCACAGGCCTGCTCATTGATTTTAAAGCTACTGGCTAACACGGCTACCCCTCTGAGAATGATTCTTCTGTGTGTTTTATCTATAGCCGCTGCCACTGTGGCTTTCAGGATCTCTCCTTCCAAACTCAGGGAATGCCTGCGTTAGGTAGGGAGGAAAATGAAGAGGATTCAGGGTAACATGTACAGTGACTTCCTGAAAGTCAGTGCTACCTCAGACCACATACACAGGGCCTAGAGGAAGAACACAGCAAACAGACCCAAGAAGGAAAGAATGGAGAGGAGAAAGGACCAGGAGTCCCAACAGGAAAAAGAAGAGGGAGATGTACAAGGATGCAATGGGGCATCTTGGGAACCTCGGGCAGCAAAGTCTGGTGGACCTGCAGGTTCAACAGTCATATGCTCGCCTCCGTCAGCAGCCCATTCAGAATTCATTATCAGGACCTCCATATAACGCTCCTTGCTGCACAACCCCTGTCACTCGAAAGGACATTAAAATCAACCACAGCTTCACAAACACTGCCCTGTGAAAGCCACAGATAGTGTATGTGTAGCTGAAATGGACATGGAAATTCTTTCCCCTTCAAAAGTTCTGTTTTTTGGTAATTTATTAAGTTGTTAATGTAGCTTTTTAAAAGATCACACAAGTGGTTTTTTTTAACTGATTTTGTTACAGAATAAAATTCTATTGTTTGGAACATAGTTTAGCTTTCTTAGTTTATAATATATGCTGCCAAGTCTTCATATATGCTGAAAGCAACTAATTAGTTGGTTCCACAGAATCACACAATTCATAGGATCATTCACAAATGAATTTTGTAGGTGCATTGACAGTGCTGTAGTCCTACATTTACAGCAATCACCACTCGATTGTTTCCAGGCCGCAAAAGAGGAGAGTCAGGTAGAGTACCATATACCACCACATGTTA